TTTTAAAGCACCTTTACTCAAGTTAAGTTCTGAGTGGAATGAAGTTTATTTCTTCACAAACATAAACCACACACCTTGGACTGTGAGACCTAGACACTAAGAGACAGATGCATGAATAATCTTTCCCAGAACCACAGAATGCTGAAAATATTAAATATCTAAAAATTGACAAATAAAGAAAAACAAAGAAGGAAACTAAATGAAACCATAAGCAAGTTTCACAACACCTAAATGAAGCCAAGTGCTAAGCTACAGTGGATGTTTTTGGGTCTGACACTTTGAAGCATTTGTTCACTCTAATGTCTTAGCAAATTATACAAATTTATAATTTTGTATAATTATAATTATACAAAATTATTATAATTTACTTCAATAAATAAAAAAGTACATTATAAAATGTACTTGATTTACAAATGTGCAGTGTCTATTTATTAATATTGCAATTTTAAATATATTCTTTTTGCTCTAATAAGCTGAGTACAAAATTTCATGTTATTCAAGAGTATACTTTTTACAGAAAAGTCTTAAAATACATTGCTGTTTTAATTAACATTACAAGTTAGAATTCTAAAGAACACTGGGTACTAGATTCCTTAGTACTGTAATTATTGCTTTAACATATAATTTCATCTTCTTAGTATAGATAATTAAGCTTTCTATGCTAACACATAGTGAAATTCTCTATCTCTAAAGTGTAATTATGTTCGTAAATAATAGTAATAAATTCTTAAGGTAATTAAACACTGGTAATAAAAAAAAAGCTTGTTTTGAATAGCTTAATATGTTAAAAACCATGGAATAGCCCTTTTAACTTAATATTGTTGTGGTTACATGTACATGTACTTCTTACTTTACATGAGCAGCAGAATTTAAGTACTCAATGATGTACTCAACTCATTTTCCTTTATGCATTAAGCATTTGCCTGGTCCAAGAGCTTTCTCTGCTACAGCAGTTTCACCCATCAGCATAGCTCTTATACCTGATGCCTTTGATGTATTAAAGAATGAATTGTTCTTCAAAGACAAAAAACACAAGTAGATTTAATCTAATACAGCTGGCATGAAACTTTGCTGTGTAAACATTATGTATTCAAACAAGAACAGACTATTTATTTATCCACATTTTACTTCAACACCCTTTACTGCAGTTATCTATTGGGTAGGACTGTCTGGCTCAAATACCAACTCGCAAGCAATACTAGAAGTAGTGTTTTAAATTGAGGACATTAAAAAACAACATAAATAACTATTCAGGAAAAAAAAAAAAGCTCACGTTATAAAATGGCCAGTGTCAGTAAATTCAACAAGCAAAAATATACATACAAACTACAGACAATAAACAGTGAGTCTGATAATGTGGGTTATTTTTTATGAGCTAGCAATTTCCAGAACCTTTCTAGAAAGGGACCTTGTCTGTTCCCTTTTTTGCTCTTTGTATCCTGCTGCATCCCTGATCTGCATCTACAGTTCACCCACACACGCCAGTATTCATGCTAGAACAGTTATTTCTTGAGTTGTCATTTATTATAATACTAAATACAAAGTGTTATCAGTCTGCATCAAAATGCTCAAATTGGGGTCTTCATCAAACATGCTCATCAGTTGTGTTTGTTGAGCAGTGTCCATAGAAGTGCTCAAAGTAAGGCACCCTTCCAATTCTGAAAATGTGTCTCCCTAAGAACAGCTGGAAACCTTTCACTGGCTTTCTGTGTTTCTTTATAAATAATATAAGCATCCTTATCTTTACGGAGAAGAGAGGGAAAGGATCTCCTCATGACAGAATCCTTAATTTCATCCATTCTATGCTTCCTGTGCCTCCCCATAAAATAGGCCATCCCTTTTCTCTCCCCCATGCTTGTTGTGTGGTAAAATTGTCCCCAAGGGAGTGACGTTTTTGTTTCTTGAGCTGGGCACCAATTATAAAGGTGTATTCAGTTTGTGAAATTCATCAAGCTGTATACTTGTGATCGGGGCACCTTTTAAGCTTATTCTTCAATGAAAGGTTAAAAAAAACAAACCCTGACTAGTGTTCTTCCAGAATTTTCCTGATTACCAGCTTTGTACATATTATAGCAGAAAAAGATGGTTTGTGGGACATCGATATGTTACTGTGCCCAGACATTTGCAAATACAGGTGAGACACACATTCACTTAAATAATATATGTGTATATTACTTCCCTTTAATCTGCCATAAATTTACTTAATTGAAGTAAACGAGTTAACATTACTAAATATTTGTATAAGGCATCGGAGACGGCAAAGTGCTCTCTCCCACTTGCTCTCCTCTCATTTGATTCCATGCATCCTTGCATGACTGCATCCATTTCAGCTGGTCTCAGTAACAGAGAGCAGGCCTTGCCACGTTATATAACAACTTAACTAACAGCCACCATGCACAAAGGAGCACACCATCCTGTTGCCTAGTGACGATTATCCAAGGCAATAGAGTAAACAGAAAATAGCACAGATATTTTTGAACAGCTGTTGTTTGTTGACATAAATACAATATTTATAGGGCTTACTAGTTTCTCAGACAAAATTGGACCCTATCGTATCCTATAGAACAGAAACTTGTTATTCCTTAATTATTCGTCACTTATCCTAGAAACATATATATTTTTATTTTTCATGAGAAAACCTTTGAAAAGGAGCCATAATAAGTTCCCAACAGGAAATTCAAATGTCCCTCAAGTTTAATTTTTTAATTCATATTTAATGGAAATCTTTCCTGCAGAAGAGCTTGTGAACTCCCAATGACTGCTAGATTTCATAACATTCATTCCTCTCTCCTGCAGTATTTACATGTGATATTTATTTGATGGTTATAAGTATCATAAGTCAGGGCAAAAACAAATTCATGTTGGTCCTATCAAGTTATTTTGCTGGAGACCAGTCCCCTGGAAAGGTCACCCTAAGCCAGCGGTTCTCAACCTTTCACGGGGGCTGCCTAAGACCATCAGAAAACATATCTTTTCAATGGTCTTAGGAACCGAGACACCGCTCCTCTATCCGTCTCCAGGCCCACATGCAGATACGCCCACATACGAGAACCCGGCGACCCCTGTGAAAGGGTCGATCGACCCCCAAAGGGGTGACAACCCACAGGTTGAGAATGGCTGCGGGCCTAAGCATTCCCCAAGGTTCAGCCGAGGCTCACTGCCCTGGGAGGGCCTTCACTGGATGCACCTTGTGGAGGTGATGTGTGAATGAATGCACAGCGCTGCTATAGTTGTTAACCCATTGGGTTGTAATTGTTGGTATATCCCCTGCCACAAAGACTAAGAACTACTTGTCAGAGGATGTGGCCCATTCATTTTTGGAGCTTCTTAACTGGAATATGATATGTGCTAAACAGAATTTGAAGGCATGAAATAAGGCCTCTTCTTGTGCTTGAATATAGTCTTATATCTTTTATTTAATGCTTCTTGGAAAGTGTTATGGACTGAATGTTGGTATCCTCCCAAAATCTACAGGTTGAAGCCCTAATCCTCAATGTGATGCTATTTGAAGATGGGGCTTTAAGGAGGTAATCAGGGTTAGATTAAATTATGAAAATGGAGCTGTCATGATGGGATTGTCTCTGTAAGAAGATTAAAAGACCAGAGCTTTCTCTCTCCCTGCCATGTGAGACCACACAAGATGGCAGCATCTGAAAGCCAGGAAGAGAGCTCCCAGCAGTATTTGACCATGCTGGCACTCTGGTGTCAGACTTCCAGCCTCCAGAAATAAGAGAAATAAATTTCTGATGTTTAAGCCACCTAGTCTATAGTATTTTATTATGGCGGCATAAACAGACTAAGACAAAAACTCATTTTTAAAAGTTCAGGCCAATTATTTATTTAAAAATTGTGATATTGGGTTACTTTAAAGGGTTGTGAAAAGATGGATAATTCAAAGATTGTGTAGGACAACTAGTTACCCATGTAAGGAAAAACATAAACCCATGCCTTACTTCTTATGTCAAAATAAGTTCTGGATGAGGCAAATATTTAAATGTTAGAACGAAATAAAAGAAGTGAAGGAAGGAGAGCAGGAAGGCAGGAAGTAGGTAAAGAGGGATGCAAGCCATTGGAGACCCAGGGATCAACAATGGAAAATGTGTTTAAACTTTTGGAGTAGGGGAAGGCTTTTTATGGATGATAAAAACCCCAGAAATTATAAAGGAAGATTTACCCATATAAAAATTTTTTTAAAATTTATTTGATCCTGTGAATAGCACCATACACAAAGTTTTTTTTAAATTTACAATTTAACAGAAAGTGGCAGCAATTATAACAAAAGCCTAATTTCTCTAGTATAAAAGATTGCATAAATCAATTAGAAAATGATGAAAAAGAAAATAGAAAAATGAACTCAGAATATAAAAATGTACTTTACAGAAAAAAATGCATATGGTTAATAGGTCAATAGAAAGATGCTGAATGCCACTAAAAGTGAGTCAAATACAAACTATTGTAAAACCACAACATGCTATTTTCACCTACTAGGCTCACAAAAATTGTTAGTACCCCCTTATTTGCTAGGAAATGTAAAAGCAGCCCTTTTGTAAATTTTTGGTAGAGTATAGATTAGTGTAAACTGTAAGAAGCCATCTGGCAAAATTTTCCAAAGTTTTTTTTTTCTTTTAATTATTTTTTACTATGAAATACACATTTTTTAGAATTAGTTTCAGCTGTACAACACAGTGCAATAGTTATACTTTTTACCCCTTGAAGTGACAACCCCCCTCCCCCAATCCTCCGCCGTATTCTTGATTTACCACTTTCTAATGTCAATTCTCTGATACTTCAGATTTGATTTTCAATGAATACTTCCCTACATTTTTTTACATCTTTAAAGTCACTTTGTAGCATGAATTCTGTAGGGTTTTCTGAAGTGTATATTTTCGAGAAAGGTCTTTCATTGTGCGTTAGAAATGTAGAATTTCTCTCTAGCATGTATTTTCTGATAGTGAGGGAAGCTGTAGGTCCAGCAATAGGGTTTTCCAAATTCTTCAGTTTTAAGATTTCTGTCCATTATGAATTTGCACGTGTCGAGTAAGCTGTGAACAGTGAATCAAGGCTATTCCACATTCTGTACATTTGTAACGCCGCTCTCCAGTATGAACTCCCTCGTGTAGACTAAGACGTGAACACCGGTTAAAGGCTTTGCCCCATTGTTCATATTGGTAAGGTCTCTCTCCGGTATGAATTCTCATGTGTGTAGTAAGCTGTGAACCATAAATAAAAGCTTTTCCACCTTCTCCACATTTGTAAGGCTTCTCTCTCTCCTGTATGGATTCTCTCATGTACAATGAGATGTGCACGCTGAGTAAAGGCTTTGCCACAGTGTTCACATTTGTAAGACTTCTCTGTAGTATGAATTCTCTCATGTTTAGTGAGATGTGAACACCGAATAAAGGCTTTGCCACATTCTCTGCACTTGTAAGGCTTCTGTCCAGTATGGATTTTCTTACATGTGTTTAGACTGCTTGACTAAAGACTGTCCCACAGTGATTACATTTGTAAAGTTTCTCCCAAGTATGAATATTCTCTTGTCCAGTAAGATTTAAAGATTCGTTCAAGTATTTGTCACATTCACTACATTTCTTTCTCTTCTCTATAATATGATGATTCTGATGTATAAGATTTGAGCTTTGATCAAAGACACTCCCACATGTATAATGGTTCTCTGGATACTGAGTTCTCCGATACTTATTAGGATTTGACCCTTCTTTCAAGTTTTTCCAAGTTTCACTAAATTGATCACTTCTCTCTCCATTACACATACTCAGAAGCATTCTGTGGAATGAATCTTCTATGTCTGGTGTTGGCAACAAGCCCTGGGTGTCTTCAGAAGACATAGCCGGTTCCTGGTGGAGGGAGTAGCTTTGTGAGCGGGACCCAGGAGCCTCCTCCGGGAAGGACTGAACTGAGTGCCTTTGGCGCGGGAGCTGGAGGTTTTGGGGACCATTGTTCCCCTGGTGTGGAGCTTGCACACCCCAAAGTTTAAATGTCAAAAACCACTGGTTGATTTTTAACACTGTAATTTTACTTCTATGAATTATGAATTTATATGTTATTTATTCACACACATAAATATATGTCCATTAAAGGAAGATAGGTTTCCAAATCATGGTTAAAAAAATGAGTGTTTATTTTTATACAAATAGAAAACTATATATATATATATATATATATATATATATATGTAAAATTTATTGCAGCTACCTCTGATCATTGGGATTTGGGAGTAAATTTGTGAAATTTTATATTTTACTTTATATCCTGTGGAACCATTTGGCTTTTTTTAAAAAGCCATAAGTTTGTATTACGTTTATAACAAAAATTTAAAGCATAAGAGAATATTGCCAACCTACAACTCTGTATAAATTAACATAATTATGCAATCACTAAGTTATGTAAAAAGTAAAATACCAAAATATCAAGAGAATAATCCAAAATAAAATAATTTCAAACACAAAGCGCTTAAAAGTGTTCAGGAAACAAATAGCATGTGTCGGGTCATTGACAAGTCCTGTCTATAACGCAGGACCAGCAGCCCGGAAGCCCAGGTCACGCCTGTCACTGGGCTTCCCTTTCTGTCATAAAAGGCTGGGGTGGGATGTGGATCAAATCAACAGAAGTAAAAGGAGAAGCATTTCCTAAAAAGGGAGGACCTTTTCTGAGCTTAAATGAGCTCAAAACAAACTATGACCTTCAGTAGACTTTTAAAATAGATTCTTCACCTCAAAAAATAATCAAACCAACCTTCTGTGTTTTCTCATTTTAACTTTAGACTCCATAAGCAAGCAACAGATGTATTTACAATTGTGTTGTCTGAAAGTGGAAGATGATCGAATTTTGATGCTGAATTGGACCAAATATCCCAAATGGAATTTTTCACACCAGCGGTAAAACTGGTAACATTTCATAAAGCCACACATATTCTGTTTTCACCTTGGACAGTTTCTCATGAATAAAGGTTGTTTATTCCAAGGGGAAAAATTGTATCATAATGTGTCCCATGAGAATGAGTTGCATGTCAGTTTGGTTTAGGATTATCTCCACCTTTATAAAATAAAAGTGTCCTCCAAATATTGACTCTTTTTTATCAGAAGCTCTCTCCACATAGCATGCTTCCTGAAAGAGGGGAAATATGAAATATTACAGTTGTCTCATCTTTGTAGACCTGATACAGTGAAAAATTGCTGATGCTGATGGAAGTAAACCAAAGTCAGGATCAGAATGAAGTCCTTCTTTCTTACAGGTGAGCACAATCAAATACCTTAGATTCCTAGGTACATGTTTTGATCCTTTCTCCTTTTTTTTCTCCTCTCCTCCTCATAGCCACTGGCTGCATCTCTGTAAATCACACCATACCCACTTACTCACACATGCACACATACATCGTTTGGTAAAAATATCTAATTCACACATTATTATGGTTTCTTACAATCAGTGATAAGTTATCTAGCAAATAATGTGTCCCTACTAATAGTCAAAGTAGTTAAATTCCTGGATGAATTTACGGTATAAATCAGCTAGTGGTTTTGGCATCTGCAGAGGCACTCATGGGCCTGTAGCAGCCAGTTTCCCTGACCATGCGCTGTTCCACTTCCTAACTGTCACTCGCTGGGGAGCAAGCCGCAACTTTCAAAACATAAAAGGAAGGCTCACCTGCCACACCTTGGATACATGTAAAGTGGGGATCATCATTCTGGACTAAAGCATCTTCATTGCTACCTATGTCACAGAGCTGGGAAAAGGTCAAATTTTAAAAATGCTCAGTATCTACCATTATCCGAATGTGAGATACAGTAACATGGTAACATTGTCAGGCCAGGTCCAGTGATTCTCTGTATTGTCACAGCAGTTTTACAATGAACTCCTGCTGACCCAATACAGTTGCTGATCTACATACTTCACATTTGTATTCACGGCAAACTTCCCTCTGTGTTTAAAATCATGTTATTCTTACTGTTCATATCAGTAGGGCTTCAACACTGGCTTTCCTATTGAGCCCAAGGCTCTAAAATCACAAAATTAAAATACTTTCTTTCCAGGAGGTAATTCAACTCTGGTGATTTACCTATCAAACGGTGGGGGAGCTGCTCACCCTCACAGCCTGATGTAGAATTGGAGAGTTTCAAAGGAGCCGTGGAGTGTGCCCTTGAGCTTTCTACTTGCCCTTCCGTGCTCTGAGCTCTCTGCTCTGCGGCTGATCACCGGAAGTCACTTTTAGGAACAGGCAGAACTTAGATAATCATCTAGGTCAAATCATCGTATTCATTATTAAATAATGAACGATTATTCCATCAGCCAAAATAACTGTTTGTGTGAGTGTATGGATGCAAGTAAATGCACAGGAATTCATAGCAAAGATTTTGGAAGAAATTACACTAAAAAGTGGTGAATCTGGGTGAAATCTTTGTGGGGATTCTTGAGCTTTCTAACTTTTCTGCAGATATGTTTTACTTGGGTAAGAATAACAAACAACCCAGTTTAACTACTGAAAGATTCTTTTAAACATCCTTATGTTAATTATATTGGGTTATCAGAAAGTCATGACGCAGATTGCAATGAAAAACAAGGAAAAAATATGCCATGACTCTTCCGGCAACCCAATAGATGTTTCCCAATTTGTTTTGGTTGTTTCAATTATTGAATGCTGGCATTTCTTACATATCCCAAAATATAATACTGAGCTCTATGAAAAGAAGGTTGTAGCTTTAATAACTTTCTGCAATTACTCCTTTAAAAAGAATTTGATAATGTGCTGCAGACATAGGAAGATGTGTGAATTTAGAGAGCTACAGACTGCGTAAAGGTGAAAATGATTCAAGTAAAAGTATATGTCATTAGAAAAAAGTATGAGGCTGTATATTTTTTGTAATTATTTATGTTAAATTACCAAACTGATGAGTCAAATTCTCCTGTGCCAATAGTCTAAATAAAACTGGAAACTCTTTCTTTAAAGTGGAAAAAGAATCAGCTTATGAAATATAGTGGAGTGAAATCAAAAGAATAAATTATATATGCTGCATTTTTTTTCTCTCTTGGGTTCGTTAGTTTGAATATTTGATCTTTAATTGAGATCAACAGTTAGGGTGTTAATCTCACAGGAAAAGATTAACAGAAAAGGAGAGTCCAATTAATTTATAAATGTTAATTAGAACTCTCTGGAATAATTGTCACTTGTGCTAGTGAGATAAGCACTCAGTGAAACAGGCTCCATAAATTGGACTAGGAATCTTGCAAACTCTGTGACCTGTGTGGGCAGCAAAGGGGAAAGTTCAGACTTTCCCCCACGGCGCAGTGCATCTCTGTGCATGGAGAGGATGACGAGAAAGCACAAGCCAAAAAACTGTGCAAAGTCACTCCCATCACATCAGTGGTAACTTTTTCACAGCATGAAATTATTTTGATGGTTCCACTGAAAACTGTGATTTATTCGGAGCATAGCACCGCGTGCATTTTGCTTTGTATGGAATTGTGTTTTCAAATTGTCATCTTAGTCTGCCAGGAAACACATTGGTGAAGTTGATTAGAAAGCCTCCAGCATTGCTTCTCTCCATAATCAATCATACTTTGCATAATTAAAAGAAATCTCTGGTAACATTGAAGCAAAAACAGTACATTATACTCCTTGATCTAGTCCCAGTAGTTGAAGTATATTAAAAATTAGAGGGCCAGCCGAGTGGCTCAGTTGGTTAAGAGCTCGCTCAAGAGTTTGAGCTCTGAGCAACAGCGGTTCGAGTCCTGGCCCGAGCTGAGCAGCCACTGAGCTGCCAACAGGTAGCAGGATGGCTCAGCTAAAAAAAAAAAAAAAATTAGATCAGAAATTCTGTCTCACATACCTGGCTTATTTTCTGGTTAAGTTTTTATTGTAAAATAAAATACCCACACCAAAAAATGCACAAAGACATGCACAATGCTTTGGTTTGCCATGAAGAAAACACCCTAACTAATCACCTGAAGAAATAAAATATGGCCTGTCATTCAGAAGCCCAGGCATGATCTCTCCTGCTTACTATTCCCTCTTTTCCACCCCCTCGAAGGTAACCACTATCTTGACATTGAAATGAATCACTACTTCCTTTTTACAATATGATTTTGCTATGTAAGCACATATCCCTAAACACTGTACTTTAGTTTTGCCTATTCTTGAACTTGATGTAAGTAAAATCATATGCTGTGTCTCCTTTTGGGTCTGGGTTCTTTTGCTCAACATTCTATTTATGATACTCATGTAATTGCAAGGAGCTGTAGTTTGTTCAAGTTTTATTGTTTACAGTATTTTGTCACACGACTATACCACAATTTATCTTTCCATTCAACTGTTGATGAACTTTACAAACAATATTGCTAGGAATATTCGTGTAGGTGCCTC